CTCTGCTTTATGTTTACGTGAAGAACAATAACCTCATTTTGCTCTGCATTCCACCTTCAGCATCAGAATATTCCGACTCGCTGCTGCTGACTCCTTTCCAGGCAGCACCAAGTGAAGGCAGGGGATCCTTTCCAGCAGGCACACATGCAACACCTGATGCACAAACCCGAGGATCTGCACAAGGACTGCTCTCCACATTCAGTTTCAGCACGTCTGCTCCATGGTTTGATTCATTTCCTGCATCACACAAATCTTCTTTTCCTTCTTCTGCAAACTCTCCCTTTTTTTGTTTCCCTTTGGACTTCTTTCTTCGGTTCTGTTGTATGAAGAAAGCTAGATTTTATGCAGATGTATATATCCAGGATGTGCAATCATTTTATAGCAGTACACCTTTTACTGAGGGAAAAAAAATCCCAAATGAAAACAAAACTACTTTAAATCCAGAAGAAAAGCAGAGTTCCATATGGTAAATCATGCCCTTCACGTAGAACATTACCATGTAACAGCTCTAGTTTTCAAGTGAGAAGTTTTAACATGAAATTTAATTTACCCAGAAGAGTTATCACAACTATTTAGTATCTTCTGTGCAACAATGTATGATTGCACTCGTGCAGTCCGTGCAACACTGTACACAAAAAATAACCTGTGTAAGGATTAAGCAGAACAGATGAGGAAGCAAGGAAAAAAGAGGGGAAAAAAACCACCAAAATTATGATAGTTTAAAAAAAAATAATAATTTTTAAAAATCAGTCAGTAGATGAACCTGACTTCTCTCAGAAGAAGTCAAATAATTGTCCAAGTGCCAGGAGACAAAATGCAATTTGTAAAATAAAGAACTCTGTCTGTCTGCAAGCACCAATTCCATGCCTGCAGGCCAAGAATTCTTGGCTGCAGGAGAGTAAATGACACACAGCTTAAGTCAAGAAAACCCATCTCTGCAGAGCCATTTGTAAACTCAGGTGACAAAACCCAAGCATTTTAATTAGTTCAGAGATGTACAACTGATACCATAAAAGCAAAAAAAATACAAAATGTATCACACAGAACACAGAGAGCCTGTCAGCACCAGTGCCACTCAGGTAACACGCAACCACAACAATCACATGAGTACAGTAAAGGAGCACAACTTCAGCTTACCCCCGTGGGCTTAAAGGCAGCTGGCTCTGGTTGCTCCTCTTTGACAGGTGACCTTTTGTCATACTGAGGTAATGGAGCTGGGTACAAGGCTGCAGGCATCTCTATGCTCAGCCCTGGCAGCCCGTGAAACATGCATTTCTGAAACAACAACAAAAATGTTGGTGTATTTTTCCCTTTCAGCACATGTCCTCAGTGTCAATTTAAGTAGTTACCTTTAATACTGCAAGGAGAGATCCAAGCTGGTCAGTTTGCATTATCTTCATCTTCCCACCGTTCAGAAGCGACTGGATTCCTTTCAGTGCATTCTGTAGCAGCTGAGAACAAAAACAGAATTATTTACTTTTCCTTCACATCTTTCAAGTGATTTTTTAAGCAGTTATGGCTTTGCTCAACATAGTTGCCATGACAGTTATTTACTCTGCCCAGTTAAAACAAATACAAAAAATAAACTATTTAAGCAAAATCTCAGTTGAAAATAGTCCAAACATCATACACTCCAAACTGCAGCATTCCAGCAGCCAATTTCCTAATCAGAGTATTCCAGACTCACACTTACCATGCAAAAGACAATGTCATCTACATTAGAGGTTTTTGAAGACTGCAGAACACTTAGGAACGTTTGAAAACAGACACTTCTGTAGGGCTCATCCAAGCACGGCTGTCCAGGCACACTAAATAAAAGTGAGAAACAAATCAGTGCTTCGCAGCTTTATAAAGCTACAGACTCAGATGCAAATTCTCTGCTAAGCTGAGGAGGAGGGCCTAAGACAGACCCATAGCTCTTTGAAAAGGATCAGCTCTACTTCTAAAAAGAACAAAAGGAAACCTGCACAAAGACTTCCCACAATCCTAGCATGCCTTACAGCTCTCTGCTTCTGTGGCTACCTTCTCAATTACTATGAATCTCCAGGCACAGCTCAACAAGCTTCCATGCCTACAAATGATGAAAGGCAAGAATTTGCATTTAAGGGCACCTAGTATGATTCTGTCAGTTCCCACATCTCTCAATTTTAATGTGCTGAAACATTTTAATGTCTGCTTGATTTAACGTACAAAGAAAGGGCAACTGCATCACTTTAATCTCTGCTGTCTTAGGTACCATACAGTAAAAGCTGGCCAATGCTGCAGTAGCTTTTGTCATTAAATACAATCTTTGTAATGGATTCATAAGCATCTGTCTCCAGCACATTTAATTACTTCAAGCCATTACTGCATGTTTGGTAATATTCACAGGACAATTCAAATATTGCAACTGATTTTCCTGAAATTAGAATCACAGAATAGCTGAGGCTGGACAGGACCATCTAGTCCAACATCCTTGCTCTAAGCACAGCCAAGCAGAGCAGGTTGCACAGCACCATGTCCATTCAGATTCTGAGCATCTCCAAGCACAGAGATTCTACAGCCTCCCAACAATCATTACAGGACCAGACAAAACTTTTTATTTCCTCCCCTAAATATTTCCTTTATAACACTATTTCTGGAAGTCTGAGACTTTACAGTTTCTATCCATACACGATATGGATTTATGCATATGTAGCTTACTGGTCCCCATTTGCCGTTCCTGGCACAGAGCAGACGGGCTGTCTGTGTTGTCAGACATCATCTAAAGCATCCACTTCCCCACCTGTAAGAGCTCATATGCACCTGAGACACAGGTTTGCCATGCTGTGTACTGCTGCCCTCCTGAGTTCCACGTCGGACTGAGCAGGATCACTGAACTGTACCAGGAGTCCCATCTTGCCCAGCAAATCCTGCAGGTACTAAAACAAAGCAGCCAAAGTCACTAATGCTCTTCCCTCAGCCTGCTGGCTCTGTTTGGTAGGTAAACATATCATATCTATGCTACAAGAAAAGACTCATCAGCTGCAACTTCAAATTCCACAGACAGATTGTGTTTACTAAAACGGCACGATTACTATTTCCAAAGCTCTCCTGTTTTGTATTTTAAAAAAGTACCGAGTGTGAGCATAGTTCACACTGAGTCACAATTTATGCCATCTTCCCAGACATAATTCTAAGTTAGTGACAACTGCTGCACCAAGCTTCTGCCATTTTCTAGGCTACAAACCCACGCAAGCTGGCAGCTCCAACACCGCTAGCATCACTACTTTGAGCTTTAGCCAAACTGCAGAAACCGCTCTGCAAACTGCCAAGAGCTGGTGAGAGCAAGAGAATTCATCATATCAAACACTACCTTACTCTGCAGCAAGAAGAAGCTCTGTGCAAACTTCAGCTATAACACTGGACAACCTCTGCTTCGAAATGGCTTTAAGACCACTGCTCACTGAAGACCAGATCTGGCTGCAGGACAAATTTCGGGATCCTCAATGGAGACTGCAGAGTGTCTGCAATTTGAATCTCCCCACGTTCCTTCTGGCTGTCACACAGACAGACCACAGTGCTTAGTCTGCAGACTGAGCCTGGTGCCCTCCTTCCATCGTGTGCCGCTGGCTCAAGCCAGATCCTGGATGGATCCTACTGCTGCTGCACGCAGGGACAGCATCAATGAGCACGGGAAAAATCTTGTTATATACTGACTATTAAAATACTTACCTAAAACACCTGTAATTCAACTTTTGCATAAATACTAGGCATGATTCTAATCTTAACCTAAAAGCTATGGTGATTTGAGAACAAGACACATTTTTATCTAAAAAGAAGAAAAAAAAAAAAAAAAAGAAGAAACAGTAAAGGATGAAAACCCTTCCTGCCTACTTTCTCTTAGTTTGTAAACACACCTTCTGACATTTAGGTCCATTATTGTAAACAAGAGCTGCTAAGGCTTGCAGAATTTCAATGTGTGTCCAAGAGCTGCATTGCTTAAGCGCAGAGATGCAGTACGACAGAAGAAAATTCAAGTTCTGTTCATCAACTACCACCTGTCGTAAGAGAAAAAGGATTATGGTCAAGAAAACAGCACTATCCTGTACTGATCAATGTATTTATATCTCCATGGCTACAGACTTGGGTAATCTGGCTGTTAAAATTACACATCATCACAAAATCAGAAATTTACATTTCAGAAACAGATCAGTGCACATGAGTGTCCTGTAACCAGCTGTACTCCCCACGAGAGCTGCCTTTCACAGTCACACTGGAGTCACAGGTCAGAACCTCGACTAAGAGCAAATAAACACTGCACTGAAAATCCAAGCGTCCCCACATGAGGTCAGCTCCACAGCCCCACAGAAATGGCAAAAGGCCCCTCTGGCTCAATGGGGGCCCAGGGAGATTGCACAGAGGGTTAAGGCACAGCCAGCTTCCCATACCTGGAATCTGTTAAGCAGGTGATGGATGAGCTGACAGACTTTGCTGACGAGATGCTCCTGATCGAAGGGAACCAGCTGGCAGGCCTGGGTGAGCAAGACACAAACATCCTGGGAAAGAAAGCGCGGGTTTGTCATCGAGAGGCCGCAAGGCACGTGCGCCGCCGGGCCCCGCTCCGAGCCCCCGGCTCTTATGGACTCACGCCGGCTCCAGCAGCGCTCGGACCCGACACCGGACGGGCCTCAGGCGGCTGCGAGCCCCCCGCACGCGGCGGTGTCCGGTACCTGAGCGCTGGGTCCCACCGCCGGCGCCGGCCCGCAGTTCTCGGAGATAAGCTGGTCGAACAGCAGGTGCAGCTCAGTGCGACGGCCGCCGCCGGAACGCTCCGCGCCGGGCTGAGTCCGCAACGCACCCAACCGCGCCATGTAACGGCGGAAGGAGCCGCCCTGTCCCACTTCCCGCACCGGGACTGCCGCCGCCGCCGCCGCCGCCATCTTCCGCCTTTCCGGCACTGTCGCTATGGCAACGCGGAGCACTTCCGGGGAGGCTACGGCGGCCGAGAGGGGCGGGGCGGGGAGGCCGTGGCGGCCGTGGCGGCAGGGGGCAGTGCTGGCCCTGCTAGGCGGCCGCTCTGCCAGGGCCCGTGTTTGGTTTTGTCCCTTTTGTCACCGCTTCGTTTTTTTAATTATTATTATTTATTATTCTAGAATCTTGTTAGCACATCTGTAGAGCTCTTCCTTTCGCGTTGCCTCCTGCTTCTGAAGCGCTGCTGCAGTTGGCGTTCTGGCAGCCCCTGCTTTACGAGCGTGACCCAAACCGCTGGGCCGCAAACGAGAGCTGAGCGAAACGCCGCCGGGTTCCTTCAGAGACAGAGACACCTCTCAGCTGTGCCCGCGGTGGGCAGGTGCTCGGCCCCGGAGCCCCGCACAGCACAGAGCAGCCGTGAGGGAGCACCGCGTGCAGATCCCTGCTCACAGCACAGAGCCTCAGAAGGCTGAGAAGCGTCAGAAGTGCAGCTCATAGAGGGAAGCACACAGCTGGGTAAGGATGGCTGGGACAGGTTGGAAAACGGCCTCTTTCTTCCCAGTAAGTCTGTGAAATTGTCATTAATTGTAGAGATGTCTTCCAGTGTTATTTGACATCTTGATAAACCGCAAACGCGCACTGATAGGAAAATGGAGTGGCTGAAGTGTGGTGGGTTCTTTGTCCACCTGTAATTCTGTATGCTATAATTATGATTTGACATCGGTATTTTCAAATTGAATCAGTGGGGAACTGAATTGCTTGGCTCCTTTGAAGTTTCCAGGGAAGAATAGAATGGGGCTCTCTGTACTGCAGGGGAATCTCCTTCCCTATTGATCTCAGCAGCTGTATTTGGCTTAAAATCATGGAAAGAATGTGTCCTCCCCCCACTGCAGCCCCAGGGTCAGTTCTGGCTGGGTCCCACCAGCCCTGCTCCAGGTGACCACCAGAGAATAACTGGCCCATAACTCTCCTCAGAATTTTAGGGGGTTTCTTTGCCAGGCTCTCCAGGTCAGTCCTGCCTCCAAACTTACTGACATTTCACTTCTTATCAGTGTGATTTCAGGACGGATGAAACACACGAATCAAAAATATCCTCCTGCCCAGGGAAGCAAACACAAAATGCAGATTCTCCTCCTTAGGATGTTCAGCTATGGAGATGCAGTGAGTGCCCAACCGGCAAGGTGCCGCAGTTACCATTCTCCAAAGGCATGTGCAGATTCAGTACAGCACTTAGCTTTATCTCTGCTGGTGCCAAAGGTGTCTCCCACCGCTTTCTGGCTGTTTTCCCAAGCTGCGGGCCAGCTGACGGACAAACAGTGCTGGCTCCAGGCTTGTTTGCCCCTGAAGGACAGACACAGATACTTCAAATATTTTCCTAATCTCGTTTTCTCATGCAAGCAACTGCTGGCGCTGTCAGGGATGTCGCTCTGTGGCAGGATGGGGGACAGCATGTGGGATGGCCAGAGAAGCCCCCAGCACCCAAGGGCAGCAGGAGGGAGACCACCCATGCTGCTGGGGCCCTGCTGTCCCATCAGGATCCTCTGCTTGTCTCCCTAATTGGTTCATCAGGATAATTCCTTCCCTCCAGTGAGGAGCATTACCCCTCCTTCCAAATGGAAGCGCTGCACTCTGAGGTCACTCAGCCCTCCTGAGAGCCGAGGCTCAGATTTCCAAAGCTATTTCTGGGAAGGGCTACCAGACTTATTTAACGTGGCATAAATAGGCTGTGCTGGGAGCCACTGCTGAGGCTGGTGCAGTGATTCAGGGGCACAACAGGTACTGGTCAGCTGTGATCCGGCCTGTGCTCCTGCTCCCCAGCCTTTGTCTTCCCCAGATCTGGCAGAGGCTGAAACATCCCCATGCCACGTCTGCAGGTGCTCAGAAGTACCACAAAAGAACTCTAAGGAGCAGCTCAGATCACTCTTGTCTGCTGGGAGGGGAATGTGGGATCCAAAATGCAGCAAACAGCTGGGGCTGGGAAAGCGCTGTGCTGGCTGCCAGGGATGCACACCAACCATGAGCTAATCCCAACAAAAATAGGAGTGAAATCATAATTCATCTGCATAATTCATGTGCATAATTTTATCTTCGCTGTATTTTCTCTAGGGATGTATTCTAGAAAATGCTTGCTTTCTCCTCCCCTCTTGTCCTTCCAAAAAGTGCCATACATACAAATCATTGGAGACAGCGAGGGGTTGTGGCTTTGCTGGGTTACCAAATAAACGATAGATTTCTCTTGAGCTCCTGGCCTATGTCTTGGCAAGCAATGCAGGTTGAAGCTGTTGTATAGACAAGCAGGCTTGTAACAATCACAGGATTTTAATTGCTTTCATTGTGAACCCTGGCTGCTGATTGTATCTTTATGAAAAAACTAACAGTTTGCGCTTGAAAATGCTAAAAATGTAAAACAATAATGGCAATTGGAGATAATTAATAGTTATTCTGAAGCAAGGATTAGACTCCAAGAAGACACTCAGAAAGAACAGAAAGCATTGCCCTGTTTACTGCACAGATTACAGCCTGCTTTTCACATGATGTCAGATCTGCCAGTTTAATTGCTTAATGATTTTCTGTAAAATATTTTAGCACCATGATGCCTTGAGCCAGCCCAGCTCTGCTGGAACTGCAGGTGTCAGCGCTGCTGGGGACAGTCACGACACAAAGCCCAGGCCTGGCACCAGGGCTTGCTGAGTCACACCCGGCCCTGCGCTGTGTGAGCCACCAGGGACACGAGGGACACAGCACCCTGGAACTCACTGAAAGGGCCAAGCTGTACCTGCCCTCAGCCCCACCGCTTCAGGGGATCCTCAGCAGCACAGGCCTGGATGGACCCCTCCAAACTGGCTGATGGGCCGGGTCAGCTGCTTCTCTACCAGGTCAGTGTGATCCCTTCAAGAAAAGACTTTTAGAACTGGATCGACAGAGAGGTTTTACCTCCATCAAAGCGTTCTGGGCTTTCCTAAAAAATAAAATGCATTTATTTCTTCCCAGTGCTGTGCTGTGGGCTGGCTGCCAGCCATTGCTGCATTCAGGCTGCAGTGGGGCCACATCCCACCTGCACCCAGACCCCAAAACCACCAGCATGAGATCCTGAGCTGGAATAAAACACGTAGCCTCTTGCTCATGGAAAGATGTCTGTGTAAGATGGGATTTCCGTTCCTCTGACTCAGCTTAAGCAGCACAGGGCTAAACCATGTTCTGGCAAAACATTGGGAAACACTTTTCCCAGGTGTGGTTTGGATGCCTGTGTCCCACAGCAGCCCCCAGCTGCTCTGCAGCCCCTGGCCCACACACACTGGTCAGAGGTGCTGCTGTGACTCTGGGAACAAAGGCTGCTTTCATGATGCGAGAGACTGCTGTGGCAAATTCCTGGGATGTTTTTATGGGCTGTAACCAATGCGACGGGAGAGAAGAGCTCCCAGCAGTCTCCTCCCCCTGAAAGCACTCAATTCACACCAGGCCGGGAGGAGGTGAAAGGAAAGGCCATGCACGTGTTGAAATGTGGGGGGATCGCAGCTCTCTCACAAACTCTTTCAACCACTAAAACAGCTTCTGCAGGAAGTAAGATGAGGCCCTCCAGGGCCAAATGGAGCTGCTCCCGGAGCTTAACACAGGGCACTGAGCTGAGCCTTGGGCTGCCCCCCAGCCTCCTGCAGGAGAAGGGATGGGGCCAGAATGTGGCCCTGCAGGGTCAAACCCAAAGCTGCAGCCTGGAGCAGCTGGACACAAAAAGGAGGAAGCCTAGAAACCAAGAGAAATCCATCTGGAGGCTGCACAGGCAATCTGAATAGACCGACAAGGACCTGACATGTTTTGAGACAGTGCAGATGCTGCATTCTGCTTTACAGCAATTCCCACCCAGCACAGTGCCAGAACAGAGGGACGTTTCAATCCACCCTTCCCCAGGCACAGCACTGGGCAGGGGAACATCTCCCTTGTTTCCCCCACCGGTGCTCAGTGTAGAACAGCGCTCAGGGAAGCTCGCAGGGGGGCTGGAGAAGTTGCCGACCTGAGGAAAAGCAGTTTTTTTGTCTCAGCAGTAATGAGTTGTTATTACTTAGCCTCAGCTAGATGCTGCCTTAAGGGAAGAAGCATCTGATTGTCTTTTAATAAACACAGTTTATCCTCCTGTGAGGAACCTGCAGCTCCCATATCCATGCAGCGCTGAGGCATATGGCTTCAGCACAGGCTTTGTTGCTATGAGTCACAGTCTGGCAAAGGGTGTGGGAGATGCTGCTCAATAAATAGAACAAAGCAGGGAAACCTCGGGTGGGCAGGGATGGCACAGCCCTGCTTCCCGCACCAAGTGGCATCGGCTCTTCAGGATTCACCAGGCAGGGACTGAGCATGAGATAAAAATGATTTCCATGTTTTTCTCTCTTCATCTCAAACCTCCCACAGAAATGCTGCAAAAAAGGAACACGTCCTTCGGGTGTCAGGTTTATCAGCAACAGGCTCTGCTCCACGTGCTCGGGAAAGACTAAAGCTGCAGCCTGTGCTGCAGAGTGATTTTGTGGGCTGGAAGGACGGAGAGCACAGACAAGCAGTCCTGGGCATCCCACAGGAATAGGCTGCAATGCCCAGCCCCTTCATGGGTGCACAGAGCTAGGAGGATCTCACCATCGCTGGGACCCTTAATAGAACACAGGCAAACACAGAGGAGAATATTGTGCCCATGCTGCAAGGAGGCAGGGCTGGCTCCTGCACCTTCTCCAGCTGCTTTACTCCAGGCTCCCTCCATAGAGAAATAATTGCTAGGTAATGACTAATAGCTACATACATGGAACACAGCCAACCAAAAAGAGCCTGCACAGTGTTCAGTGCCACAAAACTGCTTTTGCAAGGCCACATCTGGAAGAAATACTCTATGCAAGGAATTTAAAGTTCTGGTTTGTGCAACAAAAAATAATGTGACACACTCCCCAGCCATGAACCACAGTTATCCACAGCAAATGCACACACATCTGCAGGCCTCGGCCCTGAGCCCACGAGCAGCAGCCAGCAGCACAGACCCTGCAGCCATCAGACATTTTCTGAATGCCCATAAAGCAGAATGGTAACATATACTGAGTTCACGTTTAAATAGTGGGGCTTTTTTTGTTTTTTTTTTTTCCCCAAACATCTGGAAGCAGTTTCTTTCTCCAGATGTTTCCCCCACAGATACATACCCTCCACTCACTGTTCTGGATCCAGATGTTTCCAAATAGCTCTGTGTTCTTGCTGAGGCTGAGCAGGCAGCCCAGCTTGCTGCTGGCCTCTCCAGCACAGACACAGTTAACGCTCTGAGGCATAATGCAGGCCACCTGCACATGGTGGAAACTGGAGACGAATGTGGAGCACAGCAATGGAAAAATTCAAAGCCAAAAGCTGTGTCAGGCAGCGTCTGGGGAGAACAAGGGAAAGGCAGTGGGACACAAAGCTCTGTGTTAAAGCCTCTTAGCTGTGCAGGGACAGGTGAGCCGGGCTTGGTTTCCCTGCTAGCCTCACCACTAAAGGTGCAAGCTAGAGCTCCTATTAGCCTGAAGGGGGGTTTCTGCTGCAGTGACACATCTAAGGAAGCAACAAACTCATTTTCTACTTGCATGTGTCAGCTCCAAGGTATGCCATCACTCCAGGATTCCACTTTCCACCAGGGACCATCGTACACCACACAACCATGGGATGTGCACACAATGAAATAGGCTTCCCCATCGACAGAATAGCCCTAGAAAAGTTCATCAGGAGTTCAGATTAGCAGCCTCCTGGGCAGCAACTGGCATTCCTCAGTCAGTTTTTAACCATTAAGAACCCCATGCACCAATAGGGATCAACTTCCCCAGCCCCACAGGGCTGCAGACGTTTTCCTGGAGTCGCAGCAATAACTCAGAGCCACCAGGAATGCAGAGCCTCAGCACGGTTTAGCTTAAACTATAATTCCAGCTAAAAGGCTCACTGGGAATGCAGAGGGAGGAGCAGCACTCCCAGCTCCTCCCAAATATAGAAACCTCCTCTGTTTTTCAGCACTGTCAGGTACAGGTTAGACAGGCTGCCTTTGTGTAGCAAACATACTGCTGCTTGCTTTGGAGTTCTGCTTTCATTTTGTAGCTACTTAACATAAGCCTCACGCTTGTCTACAGCTCAGCTTTCCCTCATCTTACATGCCAGTGTTACAGTCCTGCAGCATAGCTGTTACACTGTTGGAGCTGACAAGAGCCCACAGATTTGCCAGTACATCAGGAGGACTACATGCTCCAACTGAGGTTGGCAGGAACAAGCCAGGGAGGCAAGGGCAGTATTGAACACGGCAGCTCCAGGCAGTTTGCAACACTTCCAGATTCTGCCTTGCTATGAAGCACAGAAAGGAACCCAACTTTCCTGCAAAGCAGGGCAGACACCCGAGTACACACAGGAGCCAGAACCCCAGCTGCTACACTACCCCCAGTCTGCCTGAAGCCATTAAGAGGTCAGACTTAACGCCTTCATATCTAGGTTACTTGGCACAGAAGCACCTTTCAGGGCTGCAGCAGGATGCACTCCCCTCCATCTCTCCTTCTGGCACAGTGTTTGAGCCAGACTGGAGGTCAGTACCCACACAGATGGGCCGCATATGCTCCCCCGACCAAGTTACTTGCTGGTCCACAGAGCTGCCTCCTTTGGGTCATCGGCATCTTCCAGGGCAGAGAACCTGTCACTCACCTTCCCCAGACAAGAGCAGTTTTTGCATCAGACAGCTGGCAATGAAGAAACCAGAGGCTGTTTAAATGTGTCAATTCACCTTTAATGTTTGAAAAAAATAAATGGTATTTGAGCCATTGCAGTTATGAAGGGAACATATCTTGCTCCACAAGAGACCGTGAACAGGTTCACATTAGACTCATGCTTGGAAAAAAAACAAATCCAAAACATTCTTTCAGTTCAAGAGTGGAGTTCTCAACAGACAAGACCACAAGAGTGCCCCAGACAGCCCAAGGCACGTTACCCCAGTGCAAACATTTCCATCAACATGAAGTAATGACAGCTACATTCTTTCTAGTTACAACATTGTTCTATCCATATTACAAAATTAGGCATACTTTGGATTTTGCACAGAGACAAGAAAGACTTTTACTTCAGGAAGTAGTCAACCTGGGTCATCCAGCCATTTCACAAAGAATAGCTCCCTTCACTCCGCCTTCCCACCCCACCAGTGACTGGTTACCAACACCAAACTTGTCCTAGAGACACAAGCTAGGCTCACAAGCCCAGTGATATTGCCTATACATCAGTCAACAAACCAACAATAGACTTTATGACAAGCACTAAGTATTTACTTGCCATCACACTGTCCTTCAGAAGGATTTCTCCCACCCAGATAAAAAACACTTCCTGCAGTTTAATCCAAGAGTCAGTACATACTAAGACAACATCACCGCTGAACCTATTGGAGACCAAGACATTTTTCTGCCATTGAAGCAGATGTCACATGAGTTTCCTTCACACAAACATCACATGTAAATATAACTTCTTGGTACTGTGCTTTAAGAACAAAAGCAGATATCAGAACATGGAGGACAGCCCTCCAGAAATAGCTTATCAGCTACAGAAATTAAAAAAAGGAGACAGTGGCCACTTACAAATCTTCCACATGACTAGCTTGTTTTAAAGGAGAGCATCAAGTTAAGGCAGTGTTGAGACAACTGGCTAAAAACATGCCAAATAAGTTGTTGTCAGTAGTCACCAATTTGATATCTACTCCATTTCAGGGATGGGCCACGTGGCCAACTTTAGATCTCAGCATCGAGGTCTAAAGACTTCAGCCAGAGGTTGCTGCTCGCTGCAGGAAGCAGCATCTCAAGGGGATGCTTCTTGAAGTCTTCTAGACCAGGCTGAGGTGCTTACAAGCCTAGGTCAATGTTTCAGCAGAGCCAAAAAATACAGTGATGGGTACTGAAAGAACACTGAGGGTGCCAGCTGCAAGTCTGTTTTTAATCACAGTCCAGGGTGGAGTTCAACATGTGTGAAAGCCACAGAAATAAGAGCCACCCTACCAGCTTTCAGGTGGGTTGAGTACCTGCGCTGAGGTTACTAGGAGAGCCAGCTCTCTACAGTCTGCAGGGTGGGTACAGAGGCTCACACTGGCTTTGCTCCTCATTACAAGATTAACAGTCTAGT